TTTTTTCCAATGTGCATTACTTTACATTTATCCACATTAAATTTAATTTGCCATTTTGTTGCCCAATCACTCAGTTTGGTGAGATCTTTTAAAAGTTTTTCACAGTCTGCTTTGGTCTTAACTACCTTGAGCAGTTTGAAGGCTTCAATATCTGAGATATAAGTGAGAGGATTATTCTAAGAGGGGTGGGTGAGATTCTGTGGCCTGCACTGTGCAGGGGGTCAGACTAGATGATCATAATGGTTCCTTCTGACCTTAAAGTCTATGAGTCTATGAGTATCATCTGCAAACTTTGCTACCTCCTGTTTACCCCTTTCTCCAGATCATTTATGAATAAGTTGAATAGGATTGGTCCAAGGACTGACCCTTGGGGAACAACACTAGTTACCCCTCTCCATTCTGACAATTTACCATTTATTCCTACCCTTTGTTTCCTGTCTTTTAACCAGTTTTCAGTCCATGAAAGGATCTTCCCTCTTATCCCATGACAGCTTAATTTACGTAAGAGTCTTTGGTGAGGAATCTTGTCAAAGGCTTTCTGGAAATGTAAGTATACTATATCTTCTGGATCCCCCTTGTCCATGTGTTTGTTGACCCCTTCAAAGAACCCTAATAGATTAGTAAGACATGATTTCCCTTTACAAAAGCCATGTTGACTTTTGCCCAACAAATTATTTTCTTCTATGTGTCTGACAATTTTATTTTTTACTATTGTTTCAACTAATTTGCCCAGTACTGACGTTAGACTTACTGGTCTGTAATTGCCGAGATCGCCTCTAGAGCCCTTTTTAAATATTGGCATTACATTAGCTATCTTCCAGTCATTGGGTACAGAAGCTGATTTAAAGGATAGGTTACAAACCATAGATAATAGTTTCGCAGTTTCACATTTTAGTTCTTTCAGAACTCTTGGGTGAATGCCATCTGGTCCCGGTGATTTGTTACTGTTAAGTTTATCAATTAACTCGCCTTCTTGGCTACAAGAGTACCCTATTGACTCATCTCCAGCTTCTCATCCACTGTAATCCCCAGGTTCTTTTCTGCTTAACTGCTACTTAGCCAGTTGGTCCCCAGCCTGTAACAATGCTTGGGATTCTTCCGTCCCAAGTGCAGGACTCTACATTTGACCTTGTTGAACCTCATCAGATTTCTTTTGGCCCAATCCTCTCATCTGTTTAGGTTACTCTGGACCCTATCCCAGCACTCCAACGTATTTACCTCTCCCCCTAGCTTAGTGTTATCTGCAAACTTGCTGAGGGTACGGTCCATCCCCTCATCCAGGACATTAATGAAGATGTTGAATAAAACCGGCCCTAGAACCGATGCTTGGGGCACTGTGCTAGAAACCGACCGCCAACCTGACATCGAGCCGTTACTCGCTACCCATTGGGCTCGACAGTCTAGCCAGCTTTCTATCCATCTTCCAGTCCCTCATGCCTTCCAACTGGGGATCACACAGTCCCTGCTCTGCATCCGTCCATGCAGGGAGGCTTATGCAAAGCTGGTAATTGCTTCTTACGCAGGATGTTAAAAGGGATGGTTCAAAAGACTTTACTTCCACGTGGCACTGCTCTGCCTTTAGATGGCAGCCTTTTCCCAGGAAGAACTACAGGCTTTGTATGAAACTTTGTGACAACCCCCAGAGGCAGATATTATCAGCAATAGCTCGGAAATAGGCTGGGCAGAATTCAGCACTTTCTATGTAATATTGACAGATAACATCAATGGTTATTTTTAAGGGTTTGGAATGTTTCAGTTTTTATCATTTAAATTTTCACAGTTTTAGGCTTTTTCTCTGATTTGTTTCTATTTACATTTTCACAGTTGTGAGAATGTTTTAGGTGGAGAGAGTCAGCCAATTAATGACAGTGGAGGTTGAGATTCATAAAGTAAAAGCTTTTGACAATTTGTGTGTTAAATGGTTCTAGGTCACTTGGAAAAATATACCAAGTACATAGTCTTCAATCAAACACTAACAAGTTCTCATGCAATGTTTTCCTAGCTGTGAAGTTCAGTTATTACTGATGGCGATGTTTGTGGTCTGTTTGTTTGCATATGGTGAAATCAATGTTTAGTGATATTACTGGTAAAAATCAAACCCTTCCAAACCTGATGGCTCCCCACTAAGGAGGTGAAAAATGTTAATAAATATTAACCATGTAACCGATGGAAATTCCATTGGTTACATGGTTAATCAGGCTCTGCGGGTTCCCTGCCGCTGTTGCCTCCAAACTCTGGGCTTCTGGCCACTGCTGCCGGCCCTGTGGACTCCGGGCTGCCATCGCCACTGCTGGTTCTGTGGGATACGGGCTCCCCTCCCACCACCGCCACCAGCTCTGCAGGCTCCTGGCTGCCCACCCACACTCCCTAGCAGGTTTTAAAGGAAAGCAGGAACTGATGAGCATCAGCTTATCAGTTAACCGTTTAAACTCCATGAGGAATAACGGTAGTTCGAATTAGCCTAATTCGAACTACCTACTCCGTGCCGCGTGTAGCCGCGGGCACGGAATCCGAACTACCGGGGATTTAAAAATGGCGGCGCCTGGCAAGATGCAAATGAAGCACGGGATATTTAAATCCCGGGCTTCATTTGCAACTTCGATTGACTACATTAACCACCCTAGTTCGAACGAGGGTGGTAGTGTAGACATACCCCCACATCCTTCCTCCCCACAGCGCTGGCTGGGGAAGCCACAGAAAGCAACAGCTGCTTTCCCATGTCCAGTTTTGGCGTCATGGTCCTCGGCAGTTCTCCTGTCTCATGGGCATGCTGTGAAGTAACTTCTGGAGCCCCTGACCAACTGGAAGCACTCAGCATTCCCTGTCCAGCCAGCAGGAAACTTAGTAAAGGTCCTACCCAGTGTTCCCCATAAGCTGGACATGTGTGCTGCTGCTCAGGACACATCCAGATGCTGCCCAATCAATTAGCAGAGTGTCCATAGCAGGTTTTTTTTTTTCTGCTAGTGGTGCACAGGCACATGCCTCGGTGCACTTAAAAATGTTATTCTTCCCATGGGTGGAAAAGATGAGAGGGAACACTGCCAAGGATTCTTATTGCTACTGTTGTTTATGCCTTGCTCTTACCAGCAGCAGGCCTCAGCACACTTCACAAAGGAAGGCAGTCTGATTAACCCCATTTTACAGACTGGAAAACTAAGGTCACTGTCAGAGCTGGGAATAGAACCTAGGTTTCCTGAGACTGGGCTAGTGTTTGAGCCACTGCTGCTTTCTGTGGGTAAAGTCAGATTAAAACTGTTCTGCAGATGCTGGAAGTCAGAAGGGGCTTCTATGTTCCATCCCATGGATTGCACCTCCCACAAGTTATGGAGCAGAGTCTGCCCCATACCCCCCAAACATCAGCCTGCATGCATGGCCCAGGGATCTGGGGACTGAGGGCAGTGTACGGCACAGGAGAGTAGAAGGTCACTGGCAGCTCCAGCGTGATGAAGCCTCTGCTCAGAGGTCAAGTATTCTGTGCAAACAGGGAAAGGCTCTATTGTCACGGCACTTGCCTGGCACCAGAGTCCCCCTCAGTGAACAATTGGCTGGCTGCAGCGTCTGTCTCCCATGGTGGCTGGGACTTCCTGTGAAGCCAGGGAGATGTCTTCTTATCTGTCAAGCCCATTTTCCATTGAAATACATCATTATTGGCTTGATTTGCCCCTGCCCAACAACAGCTTTTGGCACTTTCTGCTTCCTGGTGGGCTCCTGCCAGGGAAGGCAGCTTTAAAATCAGTGAGCTGCCTTGGTGGAGAGTGCACAGAGGATGTGCTAAGTCGGGAGATTGGCTGAGGGGTTGGTTACTTTCAGGATTTTGCTGCTGGCTCTGGGCCCTTGGTGTGCTGGGCACCTTGTACCACTGCCATGCACTAGGCCTCTGGGGTAATTCCCTCCACCAGGCACTTCTGCTGCCATAAGCCTTGCAGTGAGGCTAGCCCTGACGCAAATGAACACCATGAAAAGTCACTGGGACTGTCTGAAATACAGACACTGAGCAGGGGGGCTGGGGAGTCCAGAGCACATGTTCAGGAACATGGATTCTGTTCCCATCTCTACCCTGTGATGCTGTGCGACTGTGGCTGAGTCACTTCTCTGCTCTCTCCCCACTCTTACCGTGGGTTGGTGCAGCACCCTGCACAGGGAGTCCCTGGGGCTCCTGCCCTCTCTAGGAAAATGTCGTGAACACCTTGCTCGGACACGTTGTGGTTTTCATAGAGGCTAACTGGCTTAACTCTTCAGCTGTCCCCAGCTACCGTGTGTTAATATGTGTCTCCTCAGTGCAGTGCATGCAAATAGGGATAATTCAGTTGTGTGACCTCCCAGCTGTCCTCAGGACACGCAGCTGCAGGACTTGGAAAAAGCACTGGTCAGGCCCTGTGTCTTCCTCTGTCATCTCATCCGGTTTATCAACCTTTGGGGGCTGGATGGAAATCTTCCCTGACTGCTCATTGAAAACCAATGTCCTGGGGATTACTTGAGGCCCTGGCTAGCGCCCCAAGGATCATAGTCACTTGTAAATTAAAAGATAGAAGTGGTGATCGCATGTTAGTTTCACTGGGGGGTCTGTGCCATGCATCCCTGCCCATTGCTCCCCTGACCCATGGTGGAGAAGGAGAAACACCTGGCTCATCAGATGAGCTACATTGTAGGTGTTCCGAGAATGCTGTGGTTAATTCTTTGTTCCCCAATGGCGTACTGAGCGAATACCTAGACCACGTGGCCGTGTTTTTCCCTTCTCTGAGAATGTCTCTTTCCTGTAGTTTGCTGGAACAAGAACAGAAGCACTGTCCCCCTTTTCAGTAAATGTGTCCTTCAGTGGCTAAATCTGTGCTGCAGGGTGGTCTCATCCTGTCTGCTGAGAGCTGGGTTCAGGGGCCTGGAAAGAGAGTTGTAGTCAGGTGGGCCTGGTAGGGACTGCTCTGAAAATGGAAACAGTTTGGCACCAAATCTTTCCAATTTGTGTGTGCTCTGTACTGATCACATCTCTTCTCCTTGGCTAGGAACAGCTGTGTGTCCCCCCTGTGACAATGAGATGAAGTCAGATGCCATCATTGAACATCTGTGTGCCAGTGAATTTGGTAAGGAACCATTCCAGCTGCCTCTTCTCCCTTTCCAGAGTTTCTGATGTACACAGGAGGACGAGACACTTGATATCATGTGTGTTCTGTGTCCGGAGCCCCTCTCAGTTTCCTGGGTTGGCTAGGAAGTGCCATTGTAACTGCCACCAGGCAGAATAGAACCTGGGATCTCTGGAGCTAAGTGTAGGACCCTCTTCCCTTTGAGCTAAAAGCCAGCTGGCTCTCAGCTCACGGGACAGTGAACCACGCTAGGTGTGTGGGTTACACCACTATGCAAAACTGTGGGTAAATGAGGAGCAGCTCCCTCCTAGCCTGCTGAAAAGCCACCATGCTTTGCCTTTTCTTTCTGGTGCATGTTTCAGAAACAAATGGGGATCCACCCACTAAGCCGGAAGGAGCTGGGCTGGAAGTTCCCCTGGGGGGACCTGTGCTGTTCAGCTCAATCTGGTGTTCAGATGGAAAGTGCAGGCCCCCCAAGACTCCCTCAGTGCTGTACAGAAGAGAGCTACTCTGAGCCAGGAGCAGGGCCTGTGCCCCGCACCATCCTCTAACTAGGGCCAAGGGCTACTGCTCTGAAGCAGCCGAACAGCGTCCCCAGTTGGCAGTGGTGGGCATAGCCACTCAAGTATCAGGGCAGTGGGGGACTGGCCTCCCCATCAGGCACTGGCAGCCAGGGGCGGATGAGAGTTTTGTGGGGCCCAGGGCAGCACAGTATTGTGGGGCCATCCCTTTGGAGAAAAAACAGAAAAAAGGGGTGTCCCCCCGTGCCCACTCCTCCAGTAGCCCCACACTGATCATGTGAGCTACCCCTCCTCATCCCCTCTCCTAACACCTCCCTCTACACACCTGAATACCATTAACTCACAAACATCCCACTCTCCCTACCTCTAATATCATCAATTCACAGACACTTACCTTCCTTCCTCCCCCTTCCCACCCCCCCGCATCCCCCTTCTGTTCTGCAATGTGATTTGTCCTTTTCATATTTGTTCATTTTTTTAAATTGTATCCTTTGGTATATATGGTTGTGACTATTTTCTTCCACTATTTGATCTGAGGAAGTGGGTCTGGCCCACGAAAGCTCATCATCTAATAAACCATCTTGTTAGTCTTTAAAGTGCTACATTGTCCTGCATTTTGCTTCTTGGTACCTTCCTCTTTCTTCTCCTGACCTGCCCCCTCCCCTCAGCACAAACCCCTTCCTCTCCCACCTCTTCCCCCTATTTTTCCCTTTCTCCGCACCACCCCTCCCCGTGCCACCTTCTTCCTTCCAGTTTGCAGCGCTGGAGTCTGTGATCGGACCCCAGCTGCTTCTGGGGCTCCAGAGCACTTGATGGGCCTGGAGCTGGGTTGCGCGGTGCAACTCTGGGCCGTGTGGTTTTAAAGTGGCATCACAACATGCCATGCCACGCCTGGGCGTCTCCCCTCTCAGCTGTTGCGCAGCGTTTCAGCATGCCGCGTGTGCGCTCCCTCGGCCCCACATGGCCAGTACTGGCTGGCGCCGGGGAATTTAAAGTGCGGGGCTACGGCGCTCCATCACAAATCCCCCTCCTCCTCCAGCAGCTACCAGCTGGCCCTTCGGCCGGCCCTTCGGCAGACAGCCCAGGAAATTCCCAGTATCCTGCCAGGCCAGTCCGCCCCTGGCGCTGGCGCTAGCGTGGGGCCTGTTGAAGTGCGGGGCCTGGGGCGGCCGCCCCGCTCACCCTGTCCTATATCCGCTGCTGCTGGCAGCTGCAACGTCACCCCTGCCAGGGCTCCCAGAGGGACTTTGGTGGCAGGTTTGTTTCTAGTAAATGTATGTGCCCCTAGATGTCAGTGTTGTGTCATGGGACTGGCAGCACAGCACAGAGAACTCAAGAGGCTGACAGAGGGCTGGCAGCCAGGGATGAGACGCTCAGGTGCTTACAGCCAGGATGCAGCCAAGCCCTGGAGTCTCTGAGTGGCTCAGGCTTAGCCACACATGGAAGCTGGAGAGGTGGCCACAGTGGAAAGTGGAAGGGACGCATTCTTGTATTGTGGATCCCAGCACAGAGCCTGGCTTTGCTAAACTGGGCCCATGTGCAGCTGAGTTTGGGGGCTGGCATTGTGGGGAGACACCCTCCCCTCCTGTTCTGGTGGGGGGAGTTTGGTTTCTCCTGAGGTGCTTTGTCATTCTCCACGCTCCACAGAGGGCCCTGTGGTTCTTCATCCAAACCAATGGGGTTATTTCTTCACCCCATGCGTTACATGCAGTCTTAGCGTATGTCTAGACAGCAGGGCTAAAGCTGAATTCAGCTACACAACTTCAGCGACATCAGTTGCGTAGCTTAAGTTGAAAAAGCTTAATTTGGCTTTTGGATCTGTCTACGCCGCAAGAAATCGAAGGAGGAGCACACTTCTTTCAACTTCCCTTGTGCTGCGGGAAGTGCTGGTTACCGGGAGTCGGAGTAAGAAGTCCTCCAGCTCAACATTATTTTGAAATAAAGGCTTGTAGTGTAGACGCGCACTAGGTTATTTCGGAATAATGTCACTATGTTATTCTGAAATAACGCTGCTGTGTAGACGTATACATTGGGGCCTGCTCCCCTGGAGCAGAGGCTAGGACAGTGGGGGGTTAGGGGCTCTCTTGCCAGACTGCTGTGATTTCACAAGACTTGATAAGGTCTCTGACAGCCAGAAGCTATGTGCTGTTCCATGTCCCACCCTGCAAATCGCAGACCTCCACCTGCCTCACCAGCACAATTTCTCCCCTCCTCTCTCTGGAGCCAGACCTTGCAGCTCCGGAGTTACACCGCAGCAGGCTACCCACTGCCTGTGGCTGACGGCCCCTCTCTTTCTTGAGGGTTGCCCCCAAGAGGCTGCTCATCCCCTCTCGACCCTGCTTGGGGGCATTTGTGACCTTGTCTCCAGCACAGACAGGTCTCCTGTGCAGAAAGGGGGCAGCCCTCACCCCTTAACTCTAGTGTCAGCTGCAGGGGCCGTGGGATTTGGAGGTTGCTGTAAAGAGGACTCGGTGCTCCAGGGTTAATGTGGCTTCCCTGGTGCCTGGGTGCGTTTGTGTTTCAACAGTGTCTCTGGCTCGAAAGCCATCCGGGTAGGGCTTTGTGTCCGGCCAGCCAGCCTGTGGTCTGCGGTGGGAAGTGCTGCTGGTGCTCTGCCAGGAGCGTAAGTAAGATTAGGAACTGCGAGTGACATCCCAAGAGCCTTGCACCTGTGCCTGCGGCTGGAGGAGAAGGGAAGAGCGCGTCCCCCCCACTCCCAGCAGGGGCTGTGCTGCTCTGCATGGAAGGGGCCCAGCCGAGTGAACCATGTCTGAGACGGGCGGTGTTTGCAGGAGTGGGGCCATGTTGCTGCTCGGTGGGACGTGCCCCTCGTATTTGGGCAGCAGAGAGCCATCCCCACTAAAGAGAGGGACAGAGCCAGGCTAGCAGCAAAATGGGGGTTCAGAGGTGTCTGTGCTGGGCTGTGCCCCTGTTGGACAGTCTAGACCTGGCGAATCCAGGGCCGCTTGAGGAGGATGCTCCGAGCTCCTTGGCTAATGGGGGACAGACTGGTGCCACTGCTGCAGCTCGTAGAACCCGCCAGTGCCCCCGGTTACTCCATTTGCATGTAAAATGCAGCGTTTTCCCTCCAGCCCTTCCTGGCTGCCATTGTCAGCCCCGCAGCCCCCTGGGGCAGCCTGTGCCTTTAGAAGAGCTGCTCTGCTGCTCACCCTGCCCTGACTGCTCCCAGCCGAGGTCAGGAATATTCAGCTAGGCTGATAGCTGATTGGCCGGCCATTTAGCAGTGCCAGGGAGCAGGGGCTGAGGTGGACAGTTCTGTTGGAGCCCGTTCAAAGCGGCCTTTCAAAGCCTCCTCCCCCGCCACTGTCTGTGATCATTCCTCCTCATTCGGTGAAAGGAGGAAGCTGTCACTCAGCATTCCCTTGCCGGAGAGGGGGAGCTCCCTGCAGATCCGCTCAGTGGGTCACACTGCCGTTCTCTTCTCACCCCACAAGACACTCACTGCATCCCAGCTGCACCCCAGCGCCGGCTAACGCAGAATGCTGGGTACGTTAAGCCGCTGCTTTAAAGCATCTCCCACAGGTGTCCCACTGTGCACCAGGCGAGCTGAAGGTTTGGACTCAGATGTGGGTTTCTTGAGTGTGGCTGTAGATGCAGCCGGCTGAGCTGTGATGTTAGCAGCGTGGGAGTCTGAATGTGACGCAAGAGGGCAGACTAGATGATTGTATTTGTCGCTTCTCACCTCAGTCTGTGAACCTTGCTAGCTGCTCCCAAGTGAGTGCAATGCAGGCAAGTGTGAGCAGGGCCTGGGGAGCCTTGTCCCATCTGCCTGCGGCTCTCATGGGGAGCAGGGCTGCAGGATGATCACGGGGCTTAGAACTTCAGAGTTATCCAGATGAGCACTCCAGAGTTTGGCTGTTTCCCTGAACTCCTTTGGCCTGACAGACTGCTCTGCAGGACTTGCAAGGAAAGCTTCCTGATGCTAGGCTATCCAAGTAGAGAAAAATAGCTGAGAGGCTGTGCTGCCCCTTTCAGAGCAAGAATGAGGGTTACTACACCAGATTTTCTAAGCTGCCTGAAGGCCTGCACTTAGGCTGGGGTTGCAGGGCAGAGTGGTAGATGAATAGGCCTGTCCTTAGTGGATGCTCTGGCTTGGTTGTGCAATGAATTCAGTTAAATCCATTATCTACTTCAAAGTGTCACGTTCCAGCTTCAATCTGTGCTTTGGTGGACAAGGCAGAAACTTGCAGCAGGGAGTGAGTGAAAATCCCTAAATGGGGCCTGTTCTGACGCCTTTCTTTTATCAGCCATGTGTTTGCATGCCAAACCTACGTGCAACTGTTGCAACTATTGAAAGCAAAAATAAGTCCTGGTGTTGCTAGTTTTAAGCAATAAGAAAAAGAATGCAGAGCTGTTGGAAGCTGCATCCTAAATCCATGATGGCTTAGTATGTGAGGCAGACAGTCACAGGTAAACAGAACTTAATGAAAAATATTATAAGAAAAATTATTGGGTTTTTTTTTCAGGTCAAACTAGCATTAACTGTTTTTGACATCATTGCTGGTAAGTGTAACTTTCCTGGAAGGTTCTTAAAGGCGTTTTGAACAAGGTGTGCATTCCGCACGGATTAACACGTGAATGTGCCTTGTGCCAAAGCGTGCTATGCAATCCCCTCTCAGTATGCAGGCCTCATTACCTTTCCTGCTGGTAATGAATGTTTGACTCGCCGGCTCCGCAGACTTGGTTGGCCACATGTCCCAAGTTCAAGGCAGATTTTTTCCAACATGAAAAAACATAGACAGGAAAACCTGTGTAATCGCTTCCCGGGAATGCATGTGCATCAGACTGGGTCAAGTAACAGCTATGGAAGCCAGAATGGAGTTGGAATTCAATATGGCAGGCAAGTCTGCTGTCTTTAGATGGGAGAAAGCAGTCTAAGGGTATGTCTACACTATCACCCTAGTTCGAACTAGGGTGGTAATGTAGGCAACAGGAGTTGCAAATGAAGCCCGGGATTTGAATTTCCCGGGCTTCATTTGCATCTCGCCGGGTGCCGCCATTTTTAAATGTCCGCTAGTGCGGACTCCGTGCCATGCGGCTACACGCGGCACGGACTAGGTAGCTCGGACTAGGCTTCCTAGTCCGAACTACCGTTACCCCTCGTGAAGAGAGAGGTGAATAAGGGTACAGGCATGCTTAAAGTATTCAGAATAAATAATGGGACAGAGATGGGATCGTCTCTCGTCCCTGTCCCAAAGCACCAGAACATGCGAAAAGGAGACTAATTCCAAACTGATCGGAGGAAATACTTTTTTCCACTTGGAGTTATCCCATGGAACTCATTTGCCACTAGATATTACCAAGGCTTCAAAAAGGAAAGTACATTCATGGAGGGGAAACAAATATCCAGAGCTGTTGTAATACACACTGAACAAAGTCTGGGAGGGGATACAAACTTTTCTGCTGTAGGGCATGCACCCTCCTTCAGCTCCTCAGAGTGGGAGGAAACTTACTGGAGGCAGGTTAGCCCATCACTCCACCACTGCAGGGTTCTTGCACTTACTTTGGAGTAGCTAGTACTAGCTACTGCCAGGGACAGGCTACCAGGCTAGATGGGGTCCAATCTGATCCGGTCTGGAGTTTTGTATCTTCCTAGAAATCAGGCCATATGATCATTAGCAGCTGAACACCAGCATCTTTAATTTTGTTTATTCTAATGGAAAATCTTTCCTGTTTTCCATAAGATCATGTCTCTGCACTGGACTGCTGGCTCCCTCTATCTTCTCCCACCATTTAGCAATTCTCTTTGGCTTCTCTGGCATTCCATGGGGCTAGAGCTCTCCTTGAGGTGTCTCCGATACAGGTTCTCCTCATTGCTGGGCCAGATCTCAGACAGCAGCACTTGCTGCCTGCTGTCCGCATTGCTCTGTCTCTAACTAGAACAGTGGTTCTCAAACTTTTTGACCCGTGGCCCATGCTGCTCAATGCAAAGCCTTTCTGCGGACCGTCAGCCAACCACTTATGATCACAACATGGGTGCAGGAGGGGGTGGGGTGCGAAGTTTGGGTGGGAGGGAGAGTGCAGGAGCGGGGGTCTGGGAGGGAGGACGAGTACAAGGCCTGGGTGGGAGGGCTGGGTGCAGGAGAGAGTTGGGGATGGGGAGTCTGGGCAGAAGGTTGGGTGCAGGAGCAGGCTGGGGGTGAGTGTCTGGGTGGGAGGGGGTGTGTGTGAAGGGGATGGGGGTAGGGGTCTGGGCATGAGCGGGATCGGGGGCACTTAACTGACTTCGTGCCCCTCACCGCTGCCAGTCACTACCCCCCTCTGGGATTCTAGCCAACGGGAGCAGCGGGGAAAGCCTCCTGGCGAGCCTCAGCAGTGCATGGGGCCGCATCCTGCTCCTGTGCCCACGAGGCTCCCTTGCCTCCCTTCCCCCCCTGTAGCTGGAAGCCGGTGTTGGAACTCCAACCGCACAGTGGGGTGAGGGGCTGGAGGGCCAGCGCGGACTCCCTGCTGCGATGGCAGGCCGAATCCTGAGCCCCCGGCCCACCTGCAAGAGCCACCTGTGGACAAAAGGGCCTCTTGTGGGCTGGATCCAGGCAACCAAGTGGGTGGATCCGGCCCACGGAGGCTCTGCTGCTCTCATCCTCCCAGGCCAATTAGGGCCTGGGGGTGGGGAAGCTTCATAGCACCGTGTGCTCTTGGAAGGGTGGGGGCAGAGTGTAGAAGGCTTCGCGTGCTCTCTCGCCCCCAGGTCCTAATTGGCCTAGGGGCAGGGGAGCAAGGGCAGTCTCCTCCCACGCCAAGGGCCTCGGCACCTTGGGGAAACATGGGGTGGGGACAAAGGCACTCCCTCGCCTCAAGACCAATCATTATCTGGGGGTGGGGAACCTGGAAACACATTGGCCCCGCCCCTTCCACTCGATGCCCCATCTCTTCCTGTGCAGTCTGGGCCCACTTCAAAAATTTCCCAAGTGGCCCCCGGCAAAAAATTGTTGCCCATCTCTGTGCAAGAGGGTTGCGGACCACGCTGTGTGAACCTCTGCACTAGAGGCTTTTCTTTACAAGTAGACACCTTTCTTATCTCCTAGCAATCGGGTTTCCTATTTGATCATGCCTGGTCTTTACACGGGGGCTCAGCTGAACATCTGCACTTTGCTACTCAGTTGAGTTGCCTGTAGCAAATGGAGCCAGCATTACATTGCACGTCCAGTCTGTGGCTGGAAAGGGAGAGACTTCCCCTGTGACCAAGCAAACGCTGTTTAACCCAGCCAGGACTTTTCCAGAAGAGTGGTGGTGTCCATGCCTGCTGAGCCCCATGTGGAGTGAGTCAGCAAAGAAACATCCAAGCAACTGTTAATAAACCCAAAAGGCCAACTTGGACTTTACGTTTGACTACAGGGAACAGCTACAAGCCTTGCCTCAAGGCACCGGAGATGTGCACTTAAAGGGAAAGTGTAATATCTAGAAACCCCTTTGCTCGGAGCAAAAATATATAGATCTGGGAGGAAGAGCTGTTTCCCTGAAGTCAGACTGGCAGACTCAAAGCAACTGTTTTTTGCTGTTTCTGGAAGTCCCTGCAATGCACATTACATCTACAGAGACTAGAATGCAAGGAATGAGCCATTATGGCATCTCCTTAGCAGGCAAACCCTGAGAAGAGGAATAAACATTTAACCACAGGCTTGTCATCAGTGTCTGAATATTCTTCCCACTCTTACACAACCCACCAGCATGGCCAAACCAGAAGTGGTCAGGTCCTTAGGAGAACAGCCCAGGGCATTCATTCCTAAGGCAGTTTGTTGTGACAGAGTTTCTCAGTAATCAGAGTTCAGGGGATGGAAATACTCCTTCAGAGACAATTCCACACTGCCATGTGGTCATGGGGCAAACTCCCCTTAGCGCTCTCAGTGTTTGTGGGGATCCAGAGCAGTTGGGTTAAACTTAGAACAGGCTCTAAGACTCTGGGAGGTGGGAGAGTCCCAGAGTCCAGGCTGCAGCCCAAACCCAAATATCTACACTACTAATCCACAGCCTTTTAGTCGGAGCCCGTCGCCTAAGTCAGGTGGCACTGGCCAGCTGCAGAGGTCTAGTGGCAGTGTGGACAGACTCTTAGATGCTGTCAGAGGGCTTGTGCCCCTGCCAGCAGCTGTCAGAAATATTCCTAATGGCTTTACTCAGATATTTTTCTAGGGCACGGATATATAAATTGTTTGGGGGTGGAGTAGAGAATCCTCCTCAGTGTAGAGCTAGAAACTTGGGGTTAGTGGGATGTGCCAGCACTTCTAAAATCTACCTAGAGTCCTTTGCCCATTAGCAGTGCCTGCAGATGCACATCAATTGAAATGTGATTTTTAAAAATGCGTATGACCAGAACCAGAGTTACAGCATATTCAGATCACGGTAAGACCAGGACGTTTTACTGTGATGTGGCAAATCTTGAATTCCTGGTGTTCTCAGAGCCCCAGACCATTTGGAGGTTAACCGCCAGATCTGTAAACCCACCACAGCGCGTGTGGCTGGAGGGTAACAGAGACACTGGTACTCATTTTATTTGATCTGACTTTTCATAAACTGGACTGCTGTGGAAATACATGTGCCAAGTCTGGACAGTTTAAAAAAACTTTTCTGTTAATTTTTCAAGAAAAATGTAAAGCCAAACCAAATGCAATAAGCTAGATAGTGAAATGAATACAACAAACAGCATTACACCACCAGGCATACTGCTTTATACTTTTATTTTCCTTGTTAGTTCCAGGAAAGAGGCATTGGGTCAGCGTATACTGGTTGCAGGTGTAATCTGAAAGAAAGTTGTTTTAGCAATGACATCACACATGAGCTTTGTTGCATCATAATGGCAGGGGGG